TAGCCAAAAGGTGGTAGCAGCCCACATGCCGTCCATCACTGGTAAATAAATAAACAAAATGTGGTCTATCCACACATGTGCAATATTATGAAGCACTGAAACATGAAGCATGAAGCACTAAAACATATGGTAATGTGGATGAGCCCTGAATACATACTCAGTGAAATAAGCCAGACTAAAGGCCACAGGCACATGTACTATAATTCCATTTCCATGACATGTCCAGAGGCAAATCTAGAGAGTAGATCAGTGGTTGCCAGGGCTGGAGGAATGATAGCTAAAGGGAAGGAAGTTTAGGGGAATGAAATGCCTTACTATGTGATGGGTACACAACTCTGAATATGCTAAAGTCCATTACATTATACACTTTAAATGAATGAATTGTATGAGATTTGTATCTCAAAGCTATTTTAAATAAATGCAAAGTAAGTATAGGTTGCATGAATGTACAGTGAGTAGAAAATTTAAGATTCCTGTAATCCCGCACCTTTGGGAGGCTGAAGTGAGTGGATTGCCTGAGCCCGCGGGTTTGAGACCCACCTGGGCAGCGAGACCTCATCTCTACAATAAATCAAAAAATCAGTTGGGCGTGGTAGTGCATGCCGGTAATTCTGGCTGCTTGGAAGGCTGAGGCAGAAGGGTCGCCGGAGCCCAGCAGGTCGAGGCTGCGGTGACCGGGAGCAGCCACTGCACTCCAGTCTGGGCAACAGAGTGAGACTCCAACTCAAAAAAACAAACAAACAAAAAAAAGAAAATTTAAGATTCATGACAAAGACTAAGCAAAATCATAGGTTCAAAAACTAAAAATTGTATCTTGGAAAGTATTCATTTATTAGTTCAATTTCTTAATATATGGATATGAGACCTGCTCAGTTCTAATTCTACAAGTAAAAGGAGTATGAACATAAAACCCCAGGGTTGCTAATCAGCAGGTGGGCCAGATGGGCAGGGAGGCACATGGAGGCCAAGGACAGGAAAAAGAATCGAGAGGCAGAAAACAGGGCCTGTTTTTTTGGCAGTGGATCCTTCAGTAGAGAGAGAGGCCCTTGCTGTAAGCGCATGACAGTGCAATGGACACAGCAGCAGTGAGGAAGCCGTGTGGGATAACACAGTGTGGTGGACACAGCAGCAATGAGGAAGCAGTGTAGACTTGTGTAGTGTGGGATAACACACAATGTATTGACTCAAGCAGCGGAGAGGAGACAGTGCAGATGTATGTGGCGTGCTGTAACACAGTGAGATGGACACAGCAGCAGTGAGGAGGCAGTGTGAACACATTTGGTGCAGGATAACATACAGTGCAGAGACCACGGCAGCAGTGAGGAGGTGGTGTGGATGTGTGCAGTGCAGGACGACTCACAGTGTGAAATTTGGACACTAGCGAGCAATCCCTATTCTGTTGATGAGAATTCAGTAAGATGTCAGAATGCCCAGCTGTGAGTTTCAAATGTTACGGGCAGAACCTTGTGGATGATGACTAGAATACATATGTAACACATGTGTTCTAAACAGAGTGAAATAAATGAGCATGTGCTGAGGACTGAGAAGGCACCTTGCTGTCTACAAAACCATCAGGTATAGAAAGCGACTTTAGAGTTGCCTGAATGCAGACTCTGAAGATAGAACTCCACCTCTCATGGCTTGGGAACAGCCAGTCATATCACTCATCTCTTTTTCATGGAGGGTTGTGACTGTGTCCTAATGCAGCCCAGGCTGTGGGACCAGGTCACGTTTCCTGAAAGTGCATCTCATAACTTTGTGTGCACATGTGGGAACTGCTGTCCTGGGGTAGGAGTGCTTTACATGTAAACACCTGTCTGAACGTCAGGTAGACTTTAGGATTGTTTCTTTTTTTAAATATCCATACCAGCACCTCAATTCCAAAAACACTGATGATTCACTACGTCTGGCATACGACTGGGAATTTTGAAAATCCAAAAGGTTGCACCCACACTGGGTCTTGCAAATCTTCCTTTTGACTTAATTTTAGGATTTAAGGTGAATGCTGAAATCTTCCATATGCCTTCAGAAGTGGTGACTCTCCATGAGGTCTCCTGAAGTTGTTAGGGGTAGAACTTCATAGAACTTCAATTACCTTTTTTGGGCTTCACAAT